CCCCCCCCCCCCCCAAAAAAAAAAAAAATTCTGCGCATAACCTTTGTTTTCCATTTCTCCTGGGTATTACAGTCGTCCCAAGAGAAACTCAAATGCAATGCTTGTACAAAATTTTGGGGGGCAAATAAGGTGTGTTATTGGGGATGTGGAAATGGTGAATTGCGAATGCATAATATTATGTTGCGTTCTCAGCCTTGAAGTATTTCTCTCTGAGCAGTTAAGCTCTAGAGAGGAAATGGGGAACCATACGAGACAAAGAAAAATTGCTTGATCTCAGCGAGATTCGAACCCAAGACCCCGTCTAGCTTCGTAGTTCAAAATGATCCTTACAAGAATAACAGTTATCAGGATACTTTGCAATCGTTACGGTCTTTGTGATTTATAGTAGTCGTAATAGTTTGCATTTGCCGTCAGCCTCTCCAAGGCAATGCACCTTTTGGCCCTGGGGACCAAAAGTTTAATCCGCACATGATCTACAACTTCTTTCTCCCCATACTAGCATATACTCCTTGCTCCTTCTCCGCTCTCGTTGCATAACAAAGTACTCGTGCACGAAATCGCACCAAATACATGGGCTTACTTCTTTAGGAAGTATTGCTATTTTTCTACTTTAAGTGTATTAATTATAATTTGGTTTATTGATAACCCTCGAAACGTTTTTATGTTTGCACAGGTGAAGATATTTGTGGGAGCAACTCAGAGTTACGCCGCAAATGATTCAAATGTCCGAGTTTTCAAAGATGACAAGTTCGCAGCAATTTACAGACAAATTCGGGCATCAAGTGGACCTTCCGGCATGAAAACTGCGGGTGTAACAGACCTATTAAGAATACTGCCGAAGATCCAGTCAGTTTACTGTGATGAAATGCTTAACGACTCAGAGTTAATTAGAGAAATTAGCCATGCTGATGCTGTCGTTGGCGAATTAATATATCTCTGCTCGTCTTTAGTCGCCGATAAGTTGTCTCTTCCACATGTACTCATATCTGCTTCCACTCTCTCTTCACCCACGGCGGTTGCGCTTGGATTACCCTCCCCTCCCTCCTATGTGCCGCAGTGGGGTACTTCTCTTACACATGAGCTGAAATTTGTGGACAGAATGAAGAATGTGTTGCAGTGGATGTTAACATATTATTTCTACATCTACGATTTCTGTCCGTTGTTCAACGAGGTTAAAACAAGGCACAACATCACACCCGACAAGCCCATACAAGAAACTCTTGGCAGAGTTGATATGATAATTGGTCAGATGGATTTCACATTGGAGTATCCACGACCTCTCCTTCCAAGTAAGGAACTTAACCGGAAAAGACTGTCTGTCTATCTACCTGCCTGTATGCATGTCTTTGTATATTTATTTCCGTTAAAGTATTTATTAGGCGAAGGTGAGGTAAAGTTTACATACGGGCTAAGTGGCCCATTTTAGGACGGCGCTTATCTTGTTTCAGTAGCATGAAGCAACCAGGGGTATTTTTACTTCCCCCTAGATGGGATGCTAGTCCATTGCAGGGTTACCCCCAGCCTTAAATTCGCCGGTACTCATTTATACACCTGGGTGGAGAGGGGTACTATGAGAGTAAAGTGTCTCGCCTAAGAACACAACACAATGTCCCCGGCCACGGCTCGAACCCGGACCGCTCGATCCGGAGGCGAGCGCACCAACCATGAGGCCATCGCGCCTCCACCGAATACTTACTAATATTTTTAAACTCTATCTTCTAGACACTAAAGTTGTGGGTCCATTCCTACCCAGTCCTGCTAAGCCTCTGCCAAGCGACTTGGATCAGTTCGTGAAGGAGACTGGGGGGGATGGAGTGATCTTGGTGTCGTTTGGTACTGTATTAGAAGGAATGAAGGAAGCTTCATTGCAAATGATGGCCAAAGCCTTCTCCAAACTTCCACAGACGATCATATGGAAACTCAATCTGGAAGGTACATCCACAGAAACAGTTTGACCCAAGATGATTTAACCAATATGCCTGAAGGCTTTAGCAAATAGCCTACTTATGACTTTAAATGACGTCATACGAAGTGATTAAGTCTGCTATGTAAAACGAGATTTCACTGTCTTTGTTGTGGCCAAATTGATTCAAGATTGTTTGAAGGAAAAGATGTTTTTCTAAACTCATTGGACTTCAACATTAACTTCTTGTAATACGAAGTTTATCATTATTGTTAAAGCACCAACTCAACCGAACGTTTTTCCTTCTAACAGACACATCCAAAGTTTCAGTAAGTGACAATGTAAAATTGTTGTCATGGTTACCACAGAACGACATTCTTGGTCATCCCAAGACGCGCCTATTCATAGGTCACGCAGGGCTCAACGGAATCCTGGAATCCACGTACCATGGTGTCCCTATGATTTGTTCGCCTTTTTTTGGAGACCAGTTTGATAACGCCCGGATTGCAAAGCACGCTGGGTTTGGCGAGGTGATGGACGTAGATACTATGTCAGCAGACGAGTTTATTAATCTGATTCGCAAGGTGTTAACCCAACCCAGGTGAGCTTACAACAATAGTAATGATATATAATAGGATCTTAACCTCATGAAAATTTGTCCCGCGAATGTACTACTTCCACTCTGTTAAATTACAGACACGAAGGAAGCACTGAATTGATTAGCCCCCTCTTCTGTATTACACTATAAGGACATGGGCTTATGTGAAGCTTTAACTTGTATTGTATTTGATGACAAAACAGTACAGCGGGATTTTAAATTAAATCTATTTCTTTTACTCCCATTTTTTAAGGGAAGAAGAAGTCGTTGGTAGCGATTCGTCTATGGAACACACTCTCTGAGCTTTGTTTCCCTTGTTACCAGTTAATTAAGCAATAGACCACAAGTTTTTATGGTTTATAAGCTGATAAACCACGCGGGATGTTGGAAGAACGCGAGTGTTCTTCCAACATCCCAAGTGGTTTATCATGCCTCTAAATCATAGAAACTTGTGGCCTATTGCTTTTATATAATAATTCAGAAGACACGCGAAATTTCCATGAGTTTACTGGCACAATAAACCATAACTGATTGACCAATCAGAGCGCACACATTCATTTGATTATTATATAACATGGAATACCTCTACTCAGTGGAAAATTTTCGTGAGCGGGTGTAACAATATCGTTGAGGAACACTGAGTAGTTTCAGAAGTTGTAGACCTGTAGTGACCCAAAATAGTTGATATTAAAAAAAAAAGCAATTTGTTTTCTTCTAGATATCGCGAGTCCGCGGAACGAATATCAAGATCCATCAAGCGATTGCCGCGTCCGCCCATCAAAGAAGCCGCTGATTGGGTGGAGTACACGCAGGCTCAAGGTGGTTTGCAGTAAATTTTTAGGAACACTTGCGTACGCGCTTGAAAAGCTTTCAATCTTCCACCATTCCCTTTTGTTTGTCTGAGTTTAACTGAATTATAACATCACTCGCGCGCTTCGCTATTTAGGATTTACATTACGAGTGATATTTGAAAATTCTCCCAAAATTGCACCAGCCTTTAGGCGAGTGCAATTTGAAAGAACTTTCAAATATCACGAGTAGTATAAATCCTTTATTGCGCGAGCTTTCATACGATTACTTATTGATTATACGACTGAGAAAATGACGAACGCGCGCGCGTTGATTTGCACTGTGGTGCAAATTAAAAATTAGCGATAAATTTGCCTGCTCTCAACCAATCACAGTGAAGTAACTTCCTCAGCCATGTAATAAAAGTTGATAATACTGAAAAATTTGCCTCCTCTCAGCCGAAGTAATTTTCTTAGTCATACGATAAACATAATTTTTGGTCTTTGATATTGAAGTCTGTGACATACTTATAATGAAAATTAGTTTGTTTGAGCATTTCAAAATAATTAGATATCAGAAGAAAGCATGTTGATTTTGGCAAAAAAGAAATAAGACGCAACATCGCAGACTTTGTTGCGTGTAGTGTCTGGCCACTCCTAACATCATTACATGCCTTGGTTTGTAGTTAATTCACACGATGACGAATCAAAATCATCGATGTAAGTCGCATATTCTTCCTTTCCGCTTGCCGCTTCTGTGGCTAGCTCTCCCATCATTAATCGTTCAAGTCACCTACCAGTGACCCAAACTCCACCAGTAGCAAGCTTTGTTTCGTAATTGAAAAATTACCCAGGGCGTACTGTTGTGTGCAACACTTCGCGTGTTGTTGCACCGTGTACTCGAGCCACTTCATGTTCTTTCTTGCACAATAATATGCTGTTTTACTAAATTCAGATGAATCCCAGGGATTACTGACCATTACTACTGGACACATTTCGAGGCATTAGCAGATTGCTACCCTGGAGAACTCTGTAAACAGGTAATCAATAAGTTAGTTCGATAGCGTTTTAGTTTTCTGTACTCTGGACAATTTTAGTTTTATTCCAAGGATTCACCTATACTTCACCTTGAGAAAAGCATGCTGGTAGAATCGCATTTTACCAGATTTATATGCAATTATCTGTTGGTCATTAAAAGTGATTTTATATCGGAAGGTTATTACGGTCTTATTCCCTTTTGCTTGATAAATACCACGTCTTGCTATCAGTTGCAAGACAGCCTCTAATGTCAAAGTAGCTTGATGCATTCGATTTTAATTGCCGCAGCACGGTTCACAAACTTTGGTGTCCTACCATACACAGTCTCGTCTTTTTATCATCTATTTTAATTCCCGGAATAAGAAGTAAAATGATGATATGAGAGAGACGGAACTGGATTTGTTATTCTCAGAGCTTTCGTCGACCACGGGCAAAGGTTAAGTCTGCACATGAGACAAGTGACCCATCAGGCCGGCACTTATCTCCAGTTTCTGTAGCATGAAGTGACTAGGAGTAGTTCTAATCCCCCCTGGAGGGGATGCTAGTTCATCGCAGGGTTACCCCCCCCCCC